TAAATTCTCATACGTCGGCAAGCGACACCAATACTATAAGCTAGATATAAAAGAAAAAGGGAAGGCAAAATAATAATTATTTTCAATAAGCAGGCATTCATACTCAAAGTGTAGTAAGATTGTCTGTCCACATCCCGGACCAGGTGAAAACACTAAATAGCTGAATGATAAAAATCGAATAACAGTAGAAAGTGCTAAAAGGTCTACAACAAAAGTTCATTCAATTCGAATGCCAAGTCCATTCACTTTCGCCTCGTGATGTGCGCCCAAAAGTCTTGGATTGAGGGGCTCCGCATTTCCTTTGCACTGTACCAGAAATCTATTGAAGCCTGAGGGATCAATAGTAGGCTGCTTAGCAGATATCTATTCTTTGGTCAATTTGATGGACGCCCTATCGCCTTCTCTCCGTAAGAATGCAAGGCCTTAGCAAAATCAGATGACGACTTGTACCGCTCCACAGACTCCTCCGATCCTTAGCATACTCTGTCAAGGCTCTATATTTCTCTACCACTTCCTTGGGAGCCCGAGCTAAAACAGAACCCAGGTTGTCTATCTTCGTCTTTTGCTCACGAGCACGGGCCTCTGAAACTTCGAGAGACTTCTTCAAAGAAGAGACTTTCTTCTTGTAATGGTGAGACTCCTTCTTCTTTTCTTCCGCAAGGGCTTCCAACTCTGATGAGTAGCGACGACTCGACACGACAAGCCTGACTCTCTCAATGTTGTTAGCACTTCTCCCGACAATCACGTGGGCATGTCTAGGCATAACCAATGATCTGATTATCGTCATCTCTGAATAGTCCCGAGAGGGGGGAATCTAAAGTCCAGAAGAGGAGAACCCTCGCGCTCGGGCATGACACAACTCGAGCTATGCCCACCAACCTACAGGCTCATCCAAAGGTTGAGATGCCTCCTCGATGGTACATCGCAATGCTCCTTCATCATTGGTCTTATTCCTTTTCAATGGAGTGGAATGTGGGTCATCATCACTCTCGCCACCGCATTCTGTCAAGGAGTCTATGGTTTCCTCTAAATTGAACTTCATTACTGTACACACAAAATAGATTCTATCAAGCTTACAAAACAACAAGTCAAAAGGTGCACAAAAGTAAAACTAAAAGCGAAACATGCCGAAACTTACCATCAGCAAGGATGAATCCTTCATTGCTCCCTAGCTCGGGTAGGGACTTCAACACCCCGTCCAGATCAAAATCCATATTTGTGCACAAGCATTCGAGTTAATCAAGCCCAACAAATAAAGACAAGTCAAAGATAGTCACAAGTATAAAAATACAAGCAAGGTAAAAGGACCTACTAGTAGGATGACCGATCCCCACTAGCAACATATTCCTTATTTTCAAAATTGACCCTAGGTCGGGTGCAAAGGGTAGAATTTTAGTCAGTTGTTGGATTTGCACATTTAGAAGAGGGGTGATCTCGACTTCACTATTGAAGAGGCGAATTAAGAGATGTCTCCCATGGGTATTGAAAGAGAATTGGACCTCATGGGGTCGAACAAAGAAGAATCGAGATTTCCACTCGCTGTTGGAATTCCTAAACTTGGGAAAATGCAACGAGACCCCAGTGGTAAAGTAGACGAAGGCGTTACATTGGGCTAGCTCATGCATCTCGAAGAGGCACCTAAAGAGGTCCGTTGAGAGTGGAATTTTCTTGCTAAGGCAAACATATAGGAAATATAGTGCTTTTCTCTACGCATTGGGATTTATTTGGCTAGGAGTGAGTAGAAACTCATTAAATAACGAGACGAAGAAAGGATGGATGAGGAATCGAAAACCACCGTCCATAATATCTTTATACACGACGACCTCGTGGGGGTCGGACCCAGGAAGCCTTTCTTTGTACTTAGGGGCTCTATAAACACAGTGATCCACACACTCATATTTTCTAAGTGACTTTTCCAATTTAGATGGGGAACTATAAAGGCTATAACATTTTGGAATTTCAAGAATCACCTCCTCGCTTGCGGTATGTCACTCTATCTTTATATTTTGGTTTAAGGACTTAGTCGAACCAATGTGTCTTTTAGGAGAACTTGGTTGGAAGGTATGAATCTCAGTCGAATGGAATGGATTATTGGAATCATTGAAAATTTGAACAACATCACGAGCGGAAATGTCGACGTGGCAGGTCGACGGTCGGCTAGCCAAGGGTTGGTTGACGTACGTTGACCGTAGGTCGATCGGCCTCACCGACCAGCAGGTTGACCAAAGGGTTGGGTGAGGCTGGTGTTGGCCTCGACCGACCCATTCGACGATGGGTCGGTCGATTTGTACACTCCCTCACCAATGCTCTTGTCGGATGAAAAAGATATGAATGTTTTATACATGATGGAAGAAGAAAACCAAAATGACAAGAAATAAAAAAACTAGGAAGATGAGATGAAAGAGTTACCTTGAGAGTTAGATAGATGATAGATTTTTTGCAAAGTGGGGTAAAAGTAAAGCACTCACCTCTTTAAATAGAGGTGAAATTTGAATTTTTTGGGAGAAAGTTTTCCCTAAAACTAAAACCCAATTATGGGGTGCCACTTGTATAGTGTTTTGTTACTCTATGTCAATTGAACTGATCGACCTGTTTATATCAAATGTCGACACACATTAAAAAAAACTAATTAACCAACGTGAAGAGGCTACCCCTTATCGATAGACATCGACAAGAGGTAAATGGGTTAGTGATATAAGATGGCATTAATAATTATCCACGATGGCCATTGAGGTAAGGGCTACTTGATATGTACCCCATGTAGAGCACCGCATGATAGGCCGTCTACCCCTACAGGTTGTATACCACTATGAGGCCTTCTACGTTCACATATGTCGTCTACCACTATAAATCCGTTGACCACCATGAGGCCGTTGACCCCCATGGGGCCGTATACCATCATGAGGCCCTCTACGTTTACATATGTCGTCACCACTATGAGGCCAATGCTACAGTTAACCATACAAATGACAATGAGCTGGACGAGAACCACCCAACAGCAAACATGGGCACAACCAACCGCTTGAGGAGTGGGGGTTATCTCGTTAGAACGTGAGGAAAGTGGGAAGATTTACGTGGGACATGTGGCACCATTAACCGTAGAATAAGTACGTTACATCAGGTGCCTATAAATACCCCTAAGGTGAGAAATGTATTATTCTTGAAACCCGAACTGTTTGAATTCCAATTATATTCTCTTTCTACTTTCCTAAACCAACTACTGATTATCAGGCCAGAGGTACAACGGGAGAGAAAGCCCCGACCTCATTTTGTAGGTAGCATTCATTGATCGGAGTTGCCGAAACACCCTACACGTCAAGGAAAATACGGCGGTCTATCTCGCTACAACTTCATGTACTAAGATAGGGTTGATTGTTGAGAAGGACGTGCGAAACTACTACTTATAAAGTCATATTCCCCAATTGTACAATTTGTCTGGCTTCTCTCTAATCCCAATCTTCCATTTTTGCATGCATGTGTCCGACCATTTAATGAAGAAACTATAACCGAACTCCGGCGGCTGGTATATGTCTGGAATACATTCTGGCCATGTCCGCGTTTGTTGTTCTTCGTTCCTCAATCTAACTGGAGTTCAATGACGTTTCTTTCCTAAAATGGTCGGACACACATTTGCAAATATGGAAGATTGAGATTAGAGAGATGCTGGACAGATGATACAATTGGTAGATATGACTTTATAAGTAGTAGTTTCTCGCATTCTTCTCAATAGTTGACCATATCTCAGTATACAATTTAGTTTTACGTGGGTGAGATGAGTGAATTAAGGGCTAAGATTTTATGGGGCTAAAATTGAGGACGAGCTATTGGGACTTAAAGAAGTTATGGGATCACGTTTCACATATAACAATTTTGATGAGTTGGATGATTTGATTGAGTTGTAATTCTTTCGACGATAGTAACTTGCCATGTGGGTGCGACACGTTAGAAGCGAAGGTAGTGAAACTTGATAGATAATAAATGGAGTGCAACTCTTAAAGATGAATGACCATTGGAATGCATTTTGAAGTTTGATGAGTAAATCATGACCATAGTATAAGTTGGGTAACTAATGAAACTTTTACTTGGATGATTTAATTGAGTTGAAATTTTTTAATGGCCGTAACTTGGCACATGAGATTTTCGTTTGACACATCGCGATGGGGGAAACGGAATCTGACGAATGATAAATAAACCGTAAATGGACAAAATTTAGCGAGTATTGTAAAGAAGTTCAAAGTTTAGTGAGTAAACCGTGACCATGGTATAAGATTGATGATTATTGAAACATTTAACACGCGAAATCGATGAATAATATGAGAATGAATTGATTTTAAAACAGTTGGGTCATACAAATTATAATCTTTGATTCAATCAAGTCAGTTGATCCAAATCTGTTAGCTGGATAAACAAAAACACAGACGTGATGATTTATACCTAGATCATAATTTTTTATCTCAACCAATTAGATTTTCCAAATTTTTGCATGTCCGAAGACAATTAATCAATTAGGGTGTCGATACGGGTGGCTCCGACCGGGCTAGCCCGAATGCATCTAACCCAATTCAGGCCCCTCACATGCTTGAATTGACCCACCTAAAAATATGATTCTCACATATGAGAATCGAACCTACCATCTACTTTCAAAGTAAATGCCAAAGAAAAAGTACTAGAAATTAGAAGTAGCACTAAAACAATTTCAATTGATCGCACTTTGATTGACAAGTCGTGTACACAGATTTTAATAGTCACACCATAAGAGAGTATATCCCAAGGAAATCAAAACAAGATCAAGCTTTACATTTGCCTTGCATCATTCGACCCTTTTAACTTTTGCGTTATTCATTGAGTAAATCAGCACCAAATTTTGACAAATAATCCTCCATTGAAGCGCATTTACGCGTTCTAGAAACTTGCTGACATAGTTGAACCAGGGACTTCATATTCTTATCCAACATTTTGATACTATTAGGCTACATTTTATCTATTTCTCGAACCATGAACTATTCTTCAAAACCCTCGGGCGGCCACCATCTAGGCTTAGGAAATGTCAAACCTCGCCTCTTGGCCGTCTTCAAGAAATCCACTTCTTCTACGCCCACCTTCACCTTCAAAACTTCCAACAAATCCATCAAAAGTTCATTCTTTGACCTCACATTCTCCACCACCTCCTCGCCTCTCACATTCTTCTCTTTCCCCTTTATCGATGGTGGCAATTCACGCTTTCCATTAACAGAAACACCACCTCCACCAATTCTTTCTTTCCCTTTCCTCCCAACAACAGCAGCAGAGGGAACACATTTAAACTTCTCAATTTCCTCCGCACTCTTAAAACTACCTAGACTTCCCTCCCCAGTGCCAATTATATGTGCTTTTTCACCTTCAATAACCTTTACTGCATTGGATTCACTAATTTTCCCCGATTTGCAACTTTTACTATTCTCAACAACCATCTCATCTAAGCCATCCTTTTGCACATCACCATTTTTACTACCTCCATTGCTTTCAGCATTTTCCGGTACTTCATCTTTTTCAGCAACCCCACCATTTTCCATGATTTTCTTCATGGGTGAATCCACAGGCATGTTTGCTCTCTCTGTTTTATCATCAAATTCCTCAGCATCCATATCGGAGGAGATTTCAATCACGATAGGCTTATTTTTCTCAACAAACTCATTTTCACCCTCAAATTCCGAATCCGAGTCCTCAGAAACCCTAGCTTTTTTCTCCATAGAATTTTCACTCAATC